TCTTTAACAGAAGTCTGCACAGAGCCTGCTGTCAAATTACAGGCATCCCCTGCACATGCACCCTAGGTTTACCATGAGACCCCATTCACATGGGTTTTTCCGCCGCGATTTCGAGCTGAGCGGCTTTGAGCTACATTGCGTGTTTTTTTGGGGGCGGGACTTCTTCGCCACTACATTGGGCTGTAACCAATCAACAGCGATCTTGATGCGACATCATTCTTTCCTTCCATTTCGCAGTGCAAAAGTGACCCTTTTTGTAGCGCGATGTCGTGCGACAAAGTCGTGCAATATCGCCGGTAATGCGCGATTTTGCGCGACACCATTGAGTCTATTGGAGCCGAATCGCGCCACATCCGCGGGAAAAAAAAAAGGGTCATGTACGAGCAACAGGCGACATTGAGCTACGAGATGTGAACAGCTCCATTGAAATGCATTGGACGCGCGACATCACACGGAAATATGCGCGATTTTAAACCGCTCAGTGTGAACGGGGCCCGAGGGAAGAACACTCGGTAAGAGGTTTGTTGCAGATTAATATTGATACAATGTTTCTGATTGTAAGTCCGGCTCTGGTCATGTGATTACAGTCGACAGACCCGCCGACACAGCAATCAACTTCAGCAGCCGCATCCCCCGTGACCCATTTTAATGGCCGCAGAAGTCGCGAGGACGCTCATTGCAACGATTGCTCCGCTTGCTGGAGTATTATTATACTGAAATGTGTGGAAGGAATCACCTCTGCCTGCGTTTCCGTCACTGGAATCCCAGTTCATAACGTGCCGTCATCCCCAGCCTGCCTCCCCTACCAAGTGCGTCACCCAAGATGTGGCGTTCACACTTCACTGGTTGCATGCTTGTTCCAGCCATCAGTGCCGGCTCCAGTATTTAAAAGTGGAACCACAGCCAAGCCTGGAGCTCTGCAATATATGAGCACAGGAACATAATCCTTATACCTCCCTATATACCGGCGGCTCTGCTCTGTGTATATGAAACCCGATCGATGACTAGCCGGAGAGAAATACTCGGATTTGTTTTCATACCTGTTGATCCTGCCAGGAATCTTGTGAGCTGATAACAGTTCAGCAGAGGCAAAGTGCGCAGGAAGCTATCAGTTACATTGTTCCCCAGCTCTCTCAGGCTAGGTTCACGCCTTGGCGACTCCTGACCGCGCGGCCATGCACGCGGGTTTGTGCGCGATTGCCGCACAGTCAGGAGTTGCCAAGGTGTGAACCGATCGCGCTGTGGGCGCAATTGTTTTCTAAGTGTTGCAAGTGAACAGGAAAAAAGCTGCGCGTCGTGTCGCAAAAAAAAAAAAAGGGGTACTTACACTTTTTTTTAGCAATTGCCGTGCGGATGTCAAATTGAAATGTCTCATCTCCTCCAGGGGTACCAACAAATCTGTCCGGGACAGTCTGCAACATGTTATACAATGTATCTCTGTATGTTTCTCCCGGTTCCGTGTCAGAAGAAGAAATCATTCATCTCTCTCGTCACACTTTCCTTACTCTGCGACTCTCCAAACACATCAGATATACGAGACACCCGACTGCCGTCTCCTCACCTTCCAGGAGGATTCGTTCCCATGAGCTGTATAGGGTACCAACAAATCTGTCCACGGCTGCACGTCACACGGCTGCACGTCACACGTTTGTTATTCAGATCAGAAACACTTTATAAATGTTTTGCAGAAATAAAACAGAAAACAATCAAATTTAATAGACTCGTAAATATTATGAAACATTTGCAGCTGCGACATTGAGGAAGTCGTCACGTGTCACTGACAGCAGCATATTACACGTGCTATGATGTCATCACGTGGGCTGTAATCACATTGTGCTGTCATATCTTGTATCTGACCTCCGTCCTCCCCTTCAGTCTTCTATCTGACCTGCGTCCTCCCCTTCAGTCTTCTATCTGACCTGCGTCCTCCCCTTCAGTCTTCTATCTGACCTGCGTCCTCCCCTTCAGTCTTCTATCTGACCTGCGTCCTCCCCTTCAGTCTTCTATCTGACCTGCGTCCTCC